ATCTAAAATATTTCCTTTTCTACTACTCCTGTCTCTTATACACATCTAGATGTGTATAAGAGACAGCATACAAGCTGATGGTAATTGTACCCACAAGGGTGCCATCCCCTGCACCCCTGGGGAGCTTGCAGGATGTAATACAATAGAATTCATATTTGAAGATCTTCCGAATGTCACTACCAATTCGAATGGACAATTGAAACTTGCCTGCATTTCTCTATGAAATTTTAGCTTTTTTAGTTAATTCATGAGCAGAACCATGAATATTAATTATTGCTGTTTATAGTCAGTTCCTGACAAGTCTTATTATACTCCAGTTCCTGACAAGTCTTATTATACTCATCAACTTTTTCATGGATGAGACAGATCTTACTGTACTTTGCACCCTATTCTAGAAGGTCGTTGTATCTTAATCTGTACAATAGTGATTCCGCAATTGATGATTCAGGCCTACATCCCGATAATCATGATAAATTATTTTAGTTTATTTATTGATATTTGCCTATTTGCCTCACTTTCAAAGACTCTCAACTAAAAAAAAAAAAAAATACAACAAACTACATTTTAAAAAAAAGTTTTATGTTATTTCTTTAATATATTGTATTTTTTTTTAATGACAAAATATTTTTTTTTATTCCAAGGAGCCAATTGATATTTCTTGTTCCTATTTTGGTGTCTTTGATGGTCATGCTGGTTCCGGGGCAGCTCTCATGGCACGTCACCTGCTTCATTTGCATATTCAACAACATCTCTGGGAGATCCAGGAACTCTTACAACCACAGATTCAAGAAGATCTGAACTACTTAAGTCGAAGTGATTCAAAAAAGAGACAGAAGTGGCCTGTTAGCGAAAGAGACGTACCGATTGATAGCCTCATTATCGGCGCCCTTGAGAGTTCCTTTTACGAAATGGTAAGTTTCACGTCTATCAGTCATTTTCAATGTTATAATTCTTTCAGACTGAGACAACATACTTTAAATTTAATTCCCAGGCAATGAGAAATATACTGTACTAGTCATTTTTTGTCAATTAAAATAAAAGAAGTATAGAAAGTTAGCTAATAAGAAAGGTTTTTAAAATATTTTCGTCAGCCAATAGGAAAAGATCTTGAATAGAGGATTGAATAGCTACTTGGACTTCAAGCAAAGAGTATAAATAGAACAAGAGAGCAAAGTCCTGTTCGTAAAATGTCAGGCCTGTGTAGGACGCCCACTGACAGTTGTATATACTTTTATTACCCAGTGCAGCGTTGCGCAGCGCGGTCGAAATACGCCCGCTATGAACTAATGATACAGAAAACAAAAGTACTGTATCTTGTGGAGAACAGATAAACAGACAAACAGACCATGCGCGGTGGAGTACTGGGTAATAAAAAGTATATACAAGCGTTAGTTGGCGTCCTACACTAGCTGCGTATGGCGTATCGTTTTTTACGCTCTCAATGTGCGTAGTTGGCTCTCTTGTTCTATTTATACTCTTTGCTTCAAGCTAATCCTTGAGAACCATATCACATGATTATATCAAGGGATTAATTTACCTATATTTGAAAATATTTCCTTTTCTACTACTCATTTTCTGAATGGCATCTGATAGTTCAAAATTCTAAAAAAGAGCACAATAGGTTTTGCTATTCATTTTTTAATTGGTAGTCCTACAGTACATGCTAATGATTATTGTAAGTTTGCACTTAATGTTAATGCTTAATGAAAGTGTAAACACCTAGAGCTTTTGATGCTATGATTGGCTTTGAGACAGTATCAGTGAGGAGGATGTTTTTTTTTCTGTACGATAAGAACAACTTATACATCTCATTTTGTTAAACTCCTAAATTAATCTTATAAGTTAATTTTTTACTTGATAAGTAATTTTAAGAAGAAAAATTTATGAAATTGATAATTTTATTATCAAGGATAAATTAACTCAAATATGAAAGAATAATTTCAATCTTTTTAAATAATCTTCACGATGTTTTACTTTATCTTCAGAAAGCACATTTTATAAAAGTGCTGACTCGTCAAAAATTAAGGTTTTATCATTGTTCGGATTGTAAATGCTTCCTGCCTGTGTTTGCGTAAAGGTGATTATATGACGATAATTAACAAACATTTGTTAATTGCTTTTCATCAACCCTCTTTCATCCTCATATAACCTTTTTCCTGTCTGATATTTCAATCAATTTTTCAATCCATCCCTCAAAAATCATTTTCACTTTCTGTATTTAATACTGTACATCACATAAACCTGTGTAACTAGATTCATGTTTTTTTTCCTAATTATTATTTTGAATTTTTTGAATTCTGAGGTACTTGTTTACAGGTTTGACTGACTTCCTTTTGTATTGTGAGGTATACTATAAATTATTCTGTTCTTCACAACTGTATGTTCTCATGGTGACTTACCTTTAAACTATTTAGCTTCAATATTGGTCATTATATATGTCTTGATTTTGTTATTAGTTTTATATTAATCATCTTAAAGTTAGATTTATGAAAATGGTATTTAAATAATATAGAATAAAAATTATAAACATTTTAAATATTTAATGTTAATTTTCTTTCCATAATTGGATAAAAATATGAAAATGTTAACACTGTCCCCTTCTCTTCCTTTTTTTCACCTTCTCCTTTAGTCTCTCTTCTCCATTTCCCTCATCACTTCCCATGATCTTGCCAAATGATTGGTAGTTTTAATCCATTAACTCATATTTTTTTCTCCAATGACCGCTAAAAATGTTATTATGCACATTTATGAATTTAAATAGCATTTAAAATATATGAATTTGATAGTGAAAGGGGAATGAACCGTTTGATTGGGTAATGAAAACAAGTGGGCGGTCAGTAAAGTAGGAGTGTAAATTCATTAAAGTCTGCGATAAATGGATGTCCAACTTGATCCAACATTCCAGCCAATGAGAAAAAAGTGTCCCAACTCATGACTACTATTTTTTTGCATTTTTACGTCAAAGGTTCTTCCGACCTAAGGGAGAGAAACTTCAATACTGTTAATTACTTCATCTCTTTTATAATTTCCTGTTCAGGTTGTCGATCAAGGTCAAAGGTCAATATATTCTTGCATTTTTGGATACCCAAATCATATTTTTACTTAAAAATATACCGGGGACCAAATAAAATAATATACAGCTGTATTTGTATTACGACACTGATTAAATAATTATGAGAAATTGACTTCATAAATCGAACCAAGACCTCTAGTCAGTGTTTCATTCGGATTTAATCTGTCACTCGTTTATTTGGAAACTTAAATACAAATCTGCCTTCGTGTTCACTTAAGATAAACGTTCAATTGGCTTACTTAACATTTTATGCGGTTTTTAATATTATTAATTAAAAACTTCTTTATTTCAAGTAGCATTAATTTCATTTTGGAATGCATTCAACAACACTGCCACTTTATGAAAGCCTGTTACGACCTAAACGTAAGGAGAAAGCCAAGGACGTGTGATGGATCCCGTTCTGGTATTGAATTTGTACCTAGATTTCCATCCTGTATCAATCAGTCTCGTAGGATTGGTTTCTGTCATAACGTTTACCCCTAACTGACTTGCCCTTTGCCTCAGGCTCATTTAACAGTGTTGTTAACAGCTTTGTAGGATCGTAGCGGATATAGGATAATCAAATCAATCATATTGTTGTGTCAAATGTTGACAATGTTCAGATGAGTGATAAATGCGATGAGCTCAATATGAAGAATACTCCATTCGTTATTTATATTAAACATGCATTAATACATGATGAATGATAAAATTATGTTTATTATTTATTTGTTTCACTTAACCTTTAAAACAGTGGCACTCACAAAACATGTGGTGCAAAACTTTCAAATACAACAAATGAAACAAGATTAGTACAGTAAGACCTTAATAAAGATAAAAAATAAGGAACTAAACAAACTAAACTAAAAGGATGAAAAAATAATAATAAACACCTGTAGAGCTGTTTTATCGATAACCAAACTAGAACCAGTTGAAACTATTCGAATAATAATATTAATACAGAAATGAATTATCTAAAGAAATTTACAAATTTAACTAAAATACATATAAGCTATAAGATGTATTTCTTGAAATAATAAAATCCGTACAATAACCAAAAGCAAAACAATATAATCCGAGCATCAGCGGAAAATGCTCAAAATCATATGAAAATCATTCATAATTCATCTTTATATTAGAAAACAAGACATGTTAATTTACATTATTTACTTGCAAGAAATGTGTCTCTACAGAGTGCTTAAACAGATGGAGCACTTATTTTCATGTCACCTATTTGTGATTATAACAAAGTGTTTCTTATCTTTAAGATTCATGACTTCATTGTATAATCAAATAATCATTTATTGCTTGCGATACACCATGTAGATAGTTCTGAAAAGAACTGTTGTTGGTTGAGAATATCTTAAAGTTTCGATTGAGTTGCTTCATCGTCTTCAGGAAAATAAATAATAATCAATGTTAAAATCTTTTATTGTTATCAATGGTGTCATTGCTGATAATATTGTTTTGATCCGATAATTTCATTGAGTTTCGATATTGAATAAGATTTCAATACTTCGTTTTATAGCACATTGCAGCCTGTTGAACAAAGTATATTTTCAGCAATAATTTTGATTTTAAACTCAAGTATTTTTGAGTCGAGCTATAGAACTCTCAAAGACATTAGGGGAACAATATAGAAAGATACACATACTGTACTATCTAAAATGCCAGAGAAAATTTTTAACAAGTCATTATTGATGTAATTGCCTCTGTAGTTTCCTAATAATTATCATACTACAGGTTTTAATGTTTTTTTATCTTTCTTTTGATTGATAGTCGCGGTCGTTCACTCATCCGATCACCTTTCTTTGAAATAGAAATTTGCTAAGTTTAACTCCAGTGGCGTACATGCCAGAAGCTAGTGTAGACCTGAAAGTTGTTTTTGTTAATCCCATGCCTAATTAAAAGAGGAAAGATTTGATGGCATGTCCTACGAGGCCATGTGACAAGCAGACCAGCGAGACTACTGTAGCTCTAGGGATGACAACATAATTTCACTATTTCTTTTAAGGTTGGGATTTTACTAGTATTTTGAACTGTGATGTGAAATCCTGTGTCATCTACAAGTCTGTATTCATAATATTCAAATTTTTTACACTTTTTTTTATATTATTATTTAATAGGATTAAGAGCACATATCCAGAAAGCTGATGAAAGTGCCTTTCCCTGTCATTAGATACAGAATCACACAATATGCAACCTCCTCCGCTCCTTGGGGAATATTCCTAGTTATGCGTGTAATCAGCACTACTAATTTCATACCGAATCATTCACCTCCTAGCAGGTACTCATTTATACTCCTGGGTGAAGAGAGGCAAATGCAGATAAAGTTTCTTGCAGAATGACACAAGCAGTGTGACGATCATCGATCTCAAAACCCCTGACCTTTCTATTAAAAGCCCATTATCGTACTTTCTGCACCACACGTTTCCACAATTTTTTCAGTTTTAAAGTATCTTTTATTTTAATAAAATTAATTTCCCAGCTTGCTTTGTCCAAACATAGCCTACCCTTAATAATAATTACTGTATTTATTTGAATAAAGACCCCCCTCGAATAACCCCCTCTAGTACCTCATTTGGGATAAATGCCTCCCTCGAATAAATGCTTCAGGCATTTTTTTTTTTTTAGAATAAAAACCGTATAAATGACAGTAAACATAGAATGTGTTGAGAATTATGCTGCTTGAATTAAATTCTGATCACATAATAAAACATTTTCACTGTAATTGTATGTTGTAGTTCCACATTTACAGTGAATGTAAGTGCCATTTATTTGAGTACAGTATATACATATCCATTTTACATTTAAAAAAGCCTCGCTTGAATAAATTCCCTCTCAAAAACCTAGAATAAC